AAATTAGCCGACCAAAACTGCCATTCTCCCTCTCAAATCGATCTCGTATTAGGCAGTGATCTCATACCCCGAATAATGCTCGATGGCATCGAAAAAATCTCCCACACCTTGCTGGCACAAAATACTATATTTGGCTGGATACTAAGTGGTCAGATTCCCGAAAAGGTAGCAGCGTATTCCACTCGAGTCGAAGAGGTAGTTGATGTACATCTGGACGTCCAATTAAAAAAGTTTTGGGAACTAGAAGAAGTTCCCTGTACACAACTCCTTAATCCAGAAGATAAAATGTGCGAAGAGTTCTATAAATCCACTACTACTCGTGCAAATGACGGTCGTTACATTGTTCGGCTTCCGTTGAAGCCAACATTCCCAGAAAGTATCTCTCTAGGCCAATCTCGGCGCGCAGCGCTCCAGCAATTTCTTGGGATGGAACGAACCCTGCTTAAGAAAAGAGACCTGAAATCGCAGTATGACAGCGTATTGGAAGAATACATAACTCTCGACCACATGGAAGAAACGAACTCCATTGAACCCACTATTCCTTTTACCTCCCTCACCACGCCATCATAAAACCCGAGAAAAGAACAACAAAAGTTCGGGTAGTATTTAATGCATCAAAAAAATCAGATTCTGGTCATTCACTCAACGATATCTTATGCACCGGACCAACTCTCCTACCCGACTTGATGCTTTTGTTATTAAATTGGCGGACCTACAAATACGTTTTCAATGGCGATGTTGAAAAAATGTACCGCCAAATACTCTTGCACCCTGATGACCAAGACTACCAGAGACTCATCTTTCGCTCCTCCGAAAACAGTCCAATAAAGGACTTCAAGTTGAAAACGGTCACCTTTGGTGTAAATTGTGCACCTTTCTTGGCTATACGTACTCTTCACGAGGGCGAGTTGTATGTAGTACTTTGGCTTCGTCGCGCTTGTTGAACGTGAGCGCTGGCGATGGCTTAGTAATTGCGACATGACCAAAGCGGTAATATCGTGCACATGATTGGCATGGTTTAGGCGCGCGCGCAGCAAGCGGGTGAGCCGCAGCAAGCGCAGCATCGACGATTGAAAGTCTTGTGAGCGCGACCCACACGGAGCGGCCAACATGTGTGACCCCGGCGAGACGGGCGTAAAAGTTCAAAACAAGGCTAGCAGCGTTCGTTTGCCGGCTTGCTCTTCGTAGTATTTAGAGTGGTGGTGGACGAGCACAGTGGCGGAGAGGGCAGAAAGATCTGGCGGAACGAACGCTGCGTGGCGAGAAGGTTCAACGACAATTGGCGCGCAATTGAACTGTGGCTGCGCCGCGGCAGTAGCAACTTGGGTAGCAACAATGGCACACAAAATTCACAGCGACAAGAAGCCACCCGAGCAAATTTACGGCCAACAAGCATTTACCTTGGTTGCTTTGCTGGCTGACTGTGCCTGCTGTGGCGTGTATTTGCAAATGCTAATGCTGTCTTGGCTTTTTTGCGCAAAATGGGCAGCTGCGGCTAATTACCTACCGGCTTGCTCTTGACGTTCGCATTCGAATTTTGGACATTTTCGGTCTGTTACACTTTTAGGCTATTTTGGCTTCGCGTTCCTTCCGTTTTCGTATGACGCTGTTGAACGTTTTTGTTGTTTGTATTTGCCATTCAAGCGTTTCGGTTAATTGGCTGCAAACATTCTCGTTCATTCATTGGTGCAGTCATTGATTGTGTTTTTTTTTAATTTTTGTTCTCCTTGCCGATATAGCTATTTGTTACCAAAAATGTAGGTGATGCCTTTATTTTCATTTTCCACTGTCTGCCAATTTAATTTAGTTAATTTATTTGTGTTTATTGTTATTGTTTTGTTGGTGCCTTGCCTCTTTGCTGCCAACATATGTACCATTGACACCTGTTGTTGCCATATTATACATGTGCATGTGTGTGTGTGTTTGTTAGATAGTTAGTACTTGGCTAGAAACGTGACTTTGGCAATTTTTCATTTTTGGCTTCCGTGCACTTCTGTTCGACATATCCAAACAACACTCTCGCGTGTCTACGCCAAATTACTGTAAATTTAATTTGAACAACATGCAAATATGGATTGGGGTATTTGTGCAAACGTACATACATTCATACATATATACATACTTACAACGTTCATAGGAAAATATCTCGGAACAGAATTGAATGCAAGATTTTAGAATGTTAGCTACCTACATACATATGCACATAGGTAGGCTTTGCCCGGAGTCTGACAAGAGTAACAGGGCAATTCTGGAAACTGTCTTTCACCTCACCAAAGTCTTTCGAAAGACGAAGAAGAAAATGAAGTTCAAAATTCAGTTTAAGATTAAAGTTAAGATAAAAACAAACACAAAGACAATGGAATAGACAAAGCCGCTAACAAATACTAATACAAAGACGAAAATAACAAGTAATTTTTAGCAAAAAATAGAACCGACTTCAATTCCCCAAATAAAAAAATTTAAGATTATTAATTTCTTCATGATCCAATAATCGGATCTAAACTAAATTAGTATGGGGCCACCTTTCCTTTAAAAGAAGAATTATAGAAAAATATTCCGACGAATTGATAACCTTCTCCTTTTTTGAAGTCGGTTAAAAACAAAACCAGAGCCATAAATTAAGGCAGAAAAAAATATTGGCAGAGACAAAGCCTAAGATAAAAATGAAGAATCAGATCAACAATAATATAAAGGCATAGATTCAAATACTGTAAAGAAAAGGATAGGATAGAGATGAAGACAAAGAGGAAAATGTCATGTCAAACCCGAAGACTAAGATGTTTTTTATTATGTTATAATGCTCACCTTACTTCTCGTCCGATGACCCCCCCTCCATATTAATTCACATCATCTCACTTCAACTCACCTCACCTCCCCACACCACAGCTCAACTCACCTCACCTCACCCATAGACGTTCTGGCGAGGTTCTGAAAGTTAATCTAAACTAGAATAGATGTCTAATGAAAGGAAACACACGCCTCTAAGCACCCGACTTTGGTGGCCGTCCTTTCCTTAGAGCAGTGCCTGGTAAAATACATACGCACACATAGCTCACTGAGCGCTCATAGCTTCGCGAGGCTGCTAGCTGCCTGGAACTGCCCTAAAGCATTGCCAAACTATTTACCCCTATTGGCAATTCCAAGTGAAAACAAATTCTTGTCCACTTGGTTTTTACATCGCAGAGGACCCCTCTTGCTTCCGTTGCAACCACCAGTGGGTTTCGAGTTGAATCGTCGGGCGACATGGCCAAGCCAGCGGAGCCGCTGTATTTTAATTCGCTGCAAAATGGCATGCCACAAAAATGTACCACCGGCGAAGTTGTCTAGTTGAAGAAAACAAGGAAGCGATTCGCCATTTTCTTTGCTTACATCCAGATTTCCAGCTTGCCAAAGGTAACAGAGGAAGAAGAAGAAGGTAACTCATCTAATTCAGTAAGTGATTTAACAGCGCGTCAATAATTTCAACAACGCAACTGGTGATCCAACCATTACCTGGTAAGGTGCCAAGTCCACTTTTTTTCAAAACTTATCTTTTGATGCAGAATGACAGATAATGCGAAACTACATCGATTTTATGTCTCTGCTTAACAATTTTAAAAAAATGTTCGTACTTGGCACTTTTTCACGTTTAGGTACCGACTTACTTTCATAAAATAATTTAAATCATCGGAAAACTCAATTTGTTTCCTATTGAAAAAAAAATATAATAATTGAATAAAAAGCTTTAATTTTTTTCGGTATTTTATTTATTTTTTTGTATGTAAATAAATTGTATCAGTATATATACTATATATATGTATAGGTATATACATAAGTAAATGAATAGCATGCATGATTTAAGTTTAACATTATATTAGTAGTAATAAAACTAACATATATATAATTTTAATCAATTTTCGATATGTGTATGTATATGTTTCGCATTGTGTGTACATATGTAACTATGTGTATAATGACTGAATCGCCACAAGAGCAATAAGTAAGTTAATGAGAACAATAATGAAAAGTATTCTATAGTTCTTAAAAAATATTATAGTCATATTATATGTATAAGTATGTATGTATCTATGCAACCGTGCTTTAAGTGTTGTCCTTTTATTTTGCTGCCGAAAGGAGGCTGAAAAAAGTTTCCATCAGAAAAACTTTATAAAAAATACACATACAATTTTTCTTAACATCATATACATATTTACGTTATCAAAAGTGTACAAAAATCCTATTTATAGTAGCTTTTGAAAAGCATTCATCTGGTTTCGCTTGTTATGTGAATAATATAAACAAAAAATAAAAAATAAATAAATCTTACCGAAATAAGGAATAAGGAAATCAAATTTTGAAAATCAAAAGATTAAATATTTAACCAAAAATATTTCTACTTATTTTTTTTTTGTATACATTTTTAAGAGAAACCTTTGTGGTACAAAATATCATAGACAAAGCTTTGAAACGCCTTCATTTTTAATCAAAGTTGAACAATTTTTTGAAGGTGTTTAAAAATAATTTAATTAAATAAGTTGTTTATTGAAAAAATTAAATGTTTTAATTTTTTTTTTATAAATTTTCATTGAAAATTCAATGGTTTCTTATTACATAAAGTGTTTGAACCGATTTCTTCTGTTATACAAAAAATGTGAGTTTCTAAAATTAATTTTTTAGGAAATTGTTTTTTTTTAAGCATAGTTTTTACTTAAATTGCTTTTCTAGACGAGAGCCGCCCTTGAGAAACACAAAAAATTAAATTTTTTGCAAAAAAAAATTTTTAAATATATTAAAAAATAATTTGCAAAAAAAAATTATTTTTGATAATTTTTTCTTCTGAAATATGTTTGTTGTATTCCGCAAACTTAGCTTTAAATCTTTTTAGAACTTGATAAACTTTTATAAGTTTTGATGAACATTGAAAACATTACCTTAATTTAATTTCTAGAAAATTTATGCACTAAGATAGTTTATTAAAAATTTATTTTATTTGAAAAATCGAAGATTAAAAAAGTGCAAATTTTTGGGAAAAGTCCAATTAGTTTTTTTTTCTTTTTTGGAAAACTTCCAAAATATCCTCTTGTGCTTTAAATTCGCAAAAGCCAGCAGACCACAACAAATTCTGTGAGTTCATATGAAAAATAAGTTAGTTGAAAGGGTACATGTTTTCGTGTAAAATTTTTCCGCCTGAATTTCGTCTTATTTGCTCTTCGACTAGCCAAGCCAATCTTCAAAGCTTTTGCATAGAAAACTACATATGTATATAAGTATGTGTCAGTAAGAATGTTAGTGCCTTCTAAACATATAAATGTATGTATTTATTTTACTTTAAAAAATATGCACTTTTTAACTTTAAAAGTTAAAAGCTTCGTTAGTGTTATTAACTAATTTTACACTTAAATATACTAAAATAAACAAGTAGATAGATTTGTCTTACATAAATAAAATGTAGAAAGGAAATATATTTAAATTTGTATAAGCATATACATATGTATGTCTGTATGTATGTTTATATATTTGTATATCTAAGCCGGCACTTTAGGGCTCAATTTTCACTACATTTTTTTTCATTTGCATGTTTTTATTTTTCTCATGCAATAACACAAACATACATATAAAAAGTTTCCCTTTTCAAAATCACATTCTTTACTGTGTAAAGGCCGTTTGTAGAAAAACTTGCCCTAATTTTTACATTCTTATGATTTACATACCAGAATTTTTGCACAATGATTTCTATAATTCTGTGTCATAATTCTCGCATATTTATGTATGTTTTGTGTGTTTGTGTTAGTGGAAGTGTTTCGTCATCAGCTTTAGTTGAAATGCCTCACCGGAAACTAATTTTTATCCTCTTCATCGCTAACGTACATGCATGTCAGGTCCGAGGCTACGTAGGCACGACTACTGCTGTAATGAGAAAATAAAAAATAAAAATATTAAAATTAGCGAATATTGGACGAAATGTACTCTTACTACATGTACTACATGGAAATAGGATACTTTAAATATATATATTTTTGTTTAGTATACTTCAAAACAGTAGCTCGTTTTTGTAACTCTTCTCTACCGATTATTTCTCTACGGGTAGGGAATATACGTCATTCTCAACTACTTATTAGCAGTAGAGAACAGGGCGACGAATTCATATCTCAATTCCCTTTGTAGAGAATTTTTACAGAAACGAGCTACAGGGCTGCAAAGCACTCCAAATAACGGTGCGGTTCGGTTTAGTCGTTCGAACCACATAGAAAACTTTGTACCGGTACAGTAACCGGTTTACCAGTATCTCGTGCAAGTCCTGAACCAGGCCCGAAATGGTCCTGAATCAGTCGTGAACTATCCCGAAATGGTACTGAAATAGTCCTAACTAGTCCCCAAATGGTCATGAACTAGTGCCAAACTGATCCTAAATAGTCCCGAAAAGATTCCGAAAAAGTGCCGGAATGATCCTGAAACACACTTGAACAGGTCCCGAAATGGTCCTAGACAAGTTGTGAATTAAACCCGAAATTGTTCCGAAAAAATCCTTGAACTAGTCGAGAAATGTTCACTTGTAAACATACGAAACAATTACAGATTTTCTGCTGGGTTAACGCAAATTTGGCCTCATAAAAAAAACACAATATAAAGCAGAAAAGCTGAACGTTAATCAAAAATATATTTTTGTTCAACCAAAAATATCTAAAGTTTCACCAAACACGCAGCCTTCAAATATCTTACATTTCCACTTGGCGCCATTCACTCAACCGTCAAGAGAATTCGCATCGAAATCGAAAACTCATACCAACCGAATTCAAATACAAATTCTTCGAGCGTCTTCTATGCTCGCTTTGTAATTCCATAAGTGAACCATACAAAAGTGTAAACAAATATACTCATGCACTTATAAGCACTAAAGTACTCAAGTAACCACCGACATGCAGGTAACCAAATGAAAAGCGTTACACATTCGCCAGCTTGTCAGCTTGTAAAGCAAAAAAGGCAAAGTTAAAAAAAGGCTAAACTGAAGCGCTACTGTAGGGAACCTTTGCGCCAATATTTGTTGCTACAAGTAATTCAAGCCATAAAAGAAGGTAACAACAATTGCACGCAGCAATGCACAAATATGGCTACAAACATACAAACTGACATATACTTAGGAATGTAAGTATGTACATTTGCAGTTGCATAGAAGTAAAAAAATATTTGTTTTTGGATTTGCGAATTTGAGTGTGATAAATGCTCGTGTGTGTGTGCGCTTACAAGTTTGGCGCGCGTACCTCCATTTTCCACCTGATTTTCTCGCTTCACTGCACTGCGCGGCAGAAGTAGAAGCGTCTCAAAAAAACGCCAAAGCGAAGTTTTTTCTTCCCCTCCCCCCCCCCCATATGTGGGTTATACTTTTAAGGTAAGCTCTGTGAAACACTTTGTTGATTTTAATCGCATATCAGACAAAGCGTCTGCGTGCTTGCGCGGATTTGTGCAAATGTGAATTAGTTATTTGTGAAATGACGAGGAATTATGAGCGAATGTGTAAACAGCTATGTATGTACATTGTACATACATACAACTAAATACGCCCGTAGTCTTAAGACTAAACTCGACCGGCATGAAATTTGCACATAGCATTTATGTATGTGCGGAGAGGTGGTGTGGTTGGTTGTGGCAAATTGACCGATTTCAGTACGAATTTTGATTGACGTTTGGCGGAAAATTAGCACAAAGAACATATAAATATTTGTAATGCCAAAACGAGAAGAGTGTAAAACCATTTAGGAGTACATATATGAATTATGTAGAAATAGTAAAAATTCATACACTTGAATAAGATTGTAAAACAAATTCATTTTGAGGCAATTTGTAAAAAGCATTACAAAACATGTGAGTGGAAGAAATACTTCGTCAGTGCTTTGGAGGTTGAAGAAAAAAAGATGTATAGATTTTGTTTGATATATATGAGGAATGAGATTTAGGATATGAAAAGTTATTCGGAAGTGAAAAGTTTTAATCTTATTTAAAAAAAGCTTTTAGCAAAAACACCTATCCTTCAGTCAGCTTCAACCCATCCGTGAAGAAATTCACCGGTACCTTTCTTCTTCTACTTTCCGTTCACTCGACCCTAGCGGCAATGTGAGTGGGGAAACAGCTCTGGCACTGAACGCCGTGCCTAACATAGCTCTCGGGATGCTTAATTGACTATCGGAAGCTTCGATTTTATCCCTGTTAACACGAATTATTTAGTGCCTAGACTGGAACCATGAGTTCTTCTTAGTAGGCTTACTTTGAAAACTGATACTGAGGCTCACTGTTTCTAGGAAAATTAATTAAATTTTTAATATCAATACAAAAACACATTAAATCAGGTCCAGTACTGTTTCTGCATGTCCTTAACCTATACTGATTTGTTTACGAATCCTGGTAAAGCATCTAATGGGGCTCAGTGTAAACTATCTAAGTTATTACAACAGTGGTCCCCAACGAATTTGAGGCGATTTCTCAGAAGTGCAGTGCACTCTCATTGGAAATGCTTGATGATTTCTATTAGCCTGTTCCCGTACTCCAGGATGTGGTCAGAAATAGTCCGAAGTAGTCCGGAATATATTATTACGGATATTATAAATGTGTGCACGGGAACGACTTATGGCTATTTCTGACTAAATCCTGGAATACGAGAGCCGGATATATGTCTTCTCCTCTCTACAGCTTCTATACCATATTACCAATGGTCAAAGGTCCGGTTAGTATTCCGAGGAGAAGCCGAAAGTTCGGCATTGAGAAAATTATCTACAAATACCGTATTGTTGGTTCATCGAGCATTATATGACGTAAGCACGATATAGATGACGAAAGTTCACATTCGAAAATGCAATAAAAAAATTCGGCGCCCAAGACAACCGGCCCTCTCGCCCTGCCCTAAAGCCGGCCCTGGTACGCTCTAAAATAAAATGTGCACAGTTTTCGAACTAAGTATGTTTGGACTCAAGAGTTATAGCTAGGTACTTCGCTTCGGATGAGATATTCTAATTTCTGCAGAGAAAAAATGTTTTTTTTTTTTTTTTATGCGATTTCTGCTTCGTAATGATTAGTTGACCCGGTAAATGTGGCTGCCTAGGGCTCCTTTTATTAGGTCACTTATCGTTGGTAAGAATTTACCTCAGATAAGTACTCGCATTCGAGTCGATAGTATAGACGACAAGCTTTATTTCTGTTGTTCTAGGCGATTTCGAGAATCCTACCCATGGCTATGAGGGTCCTAGTTTTTTGTTTTACTAACTCGGCTTTAAAGCATGAAGTCAATCTATTAGTTATAGAGCACTGAAGGCCACGTAATAAGAGTGTCCTAATTAATGCTTCCGTCCGCGATTATAGAAAGCTCCATCAATCACCAAAAAGCCATACATGGGAGACTAAAAATCAATACACATTGGGATATATGACCACCAAGCTGGTTTAACAATGCATTCTACTTTACAGGAAAGCTAGGCAAATCTCGAGGGGATCTTCCCTTAATACGTACACCTACGCGATCCAGTTCAATTTAAATGGGATTGGTGGTTTGAGGTTATGCAAATATAGGATTATGAAAGCACTTCTTGGGTATCTTAATTGACCTGAGTTGGCTAGGCTCACCCACTAACATTTTATAAATCGTTAAATCCAAACACCCAGTCAAAATTATATAATAAAATAGTATTTATCATAAGAAATGATATCCTTTCGATTAACACTACATTAATAGTAAACAATATTATATAATATCTACTTACAAGGCAGTTTCATGCTCGTACACCGATGCGACCATGGCGCTGTATTCGCTCTCCAAGTTGCTGTGAATACCACCAATCGCACTTGAGGCACAACCGTCCACGCTGAGTATACCACCAGTACCAGTACCAGTACCAACACCGACGTTGACACCAACACCACAGCCAGCGCCAACGCCGGCGGTTATAATCAGGCCAGCACCTCCACCTACGCCACCTTCGCCACCACCACCTCCAATACCACTGAAATTCATGTCGATGCTCTGTGGCTGCTCGCTACGTTCGTATGTCTTTATTGCCGCATCAAAATGTTGTTGCTGTTGTTGTAGCAACTGTTGCTGATGCTGTTGCTGTTGTGCTTGCAACTGTTGTTGTTGTTGCTGATGTTGTTTATGCATTTGTTGTTGCTGTTTCTGATAGATGATAAAATTATCAGTGGCTGCCACGGCTGCAGCTGCAGCCGCTGCCATTGCTGTTGCTGTCACATTAGACATTGTTGGCATAGTTGTTGCTGGCAAAGCTGTGGGTATTCGAAAGCCACATTGCATGGTTGCCACACTTTTGTTCTCCTGTTGATTATTGTGGCAACTGTTGCTGCCACTGCCACTGGCGCTGCTACTGTTCGTGCCAGAAAGGATGATTGTAGTGCTGCCGCTGCTGTCACTGCCAGTATAGCTGCCGCTGCCGCCACCAACAATGCCGCTACTATCGCCATCACCATTCATGTTGTTGTTGTCGCCACTTTTGCTGATTTGGATGTTAATGTTGTTGCTTGTAGCATACATGTTGCTGCCATTGCGGCAATCGTTCATTTCATCAGCACTACTAGTATTCGTATTGTTGTCGTTGTTGCAGCTGCTTGTGCCTGCACTGTCGCTGCGGCTATTCGCTTTATTATTCGTCTCATTATTCAAGCCAATTGTATTGTTGATGGATGGTGGACACTGGTCTGTGGGGATTGGTATTGCTGTTTGTGGCGCTAAGGCAGCCGAGACTACAACACTGTGTTGTTGCTGTATTGTTGCAGTGGTTGATGTTGCAGCTGCTGCTGTTGTTGTTGTGGCAGTTGTCACCAAAGCAGTCAGTGCTACTGCAATGCTTGTGCTACAAGTAGAAGAGCAGACAAAGCCAAGACATGTAAGATTATTGCAACAATAATAACAATAAATGTTGTGAACAGAGGAAAAATTTTCTAAATGCATTGTAGTTATGTCTGTATGTATATAGGTGTATGTATGTACATATGCAAGTGTCCACAAGTTGTTGGCAAACGAATAGAAAGCTCCAATTTAAATCTGTTGACAATTCAACGCTCAGAAACATTTTATATGCGCAAAAGTTGATTTTAAAAACACATCGTCGTGTCGTAAAGACGTGCTTAAATTTTGTAAAACCATGTACTATCAGAGAACGTAGACGTTCTCTGCTCTGGTACTATGCTATAAGGGGTTTTTTTGGTATGAGAAATCCATTTCAGCACTTATTTTTTTCTTAAAACTTCCACCAGATGGCGCAATAGTGAAAATTCGCACATTTTCCTCGAAACCTACTTTCGCAATTTGGCTAACTACAAATGGATTTTTGACCCATGATTTCTTCGGAAAATTTGCTTAGAATTACACGTAGAGTCCTCCTATACTATAAGCGCATAGTAAAAAAAAATTACCCACCCTAACATACATAAATATGTATGTATGCAGAGATATGTGAAGTGGAAATTGAATTAACATAGTATCGGTAACTGCATTTATTTGAATCTAATATACTTGGAGACTCAAGATTGGAATATAAAAACTAAAAAGATTGCATTTCCACTTTTATTGTTTAACAGCTAAGCTAGACTTTCAAAAGCAAGAAAATAGCGAAGATACTCTAACAAGTGAAGGAGTGCGTCTTGATGTCACACAAATAGAGAAAACTAAAATCTTATGCCACCTCTGAACTCAAGATGGGTTTTTATGAAAATTTTGTCTTAGCAGAAGCATAATTGAATGATTCTTTAATGTCTGCCTAGCAAGAAAAAAAAACACTACGGAAGCAAAGCTTCCCTCGCTTCAGTTTCTCTCTCTCTCTCACTGTTTTCTTTATTGTCACCTCTGGGCAGTTGTGGACAAAATACTTACTAAGTATTAAGTCCACAAGTCTTTGGATATTTAGGATGTAGTAAATATCAAAGTACTATTTACTTAAGTATTTTGGATGTTACTAAATACCAAATACGACATGAACAAATATTTTGTCGTCTTCGTTGTGGGTTCACACTAAGAGTTTATCCATTAAATAATTTTCATTTTTGATATTATACAGCTACTATGCACATTCATATGTCCATATGTATGTATGAATACGTATTGACATTCTCACAGGCCATTCATTAACCCAAGCAGCTCAGCTCACTACAATCAATAGACTGCCCTTAACCTTTCCAATTAACCATCGAGTAAATAACAAAGTTGTGAAAATCAACCTAAATATCAAAGACAAAGCTTTAGCGCTCAAAATTGCTTAAGACTCAAGCGCGAGAAGTGCAATTTTAATGTTTTTATTGTTTTCAATTTTTTTCAACGTTTTTGTTCGTTTACTAAAGCGTCATAAGCCGTTGACTGCAAAAAATGGGTTTGGCGTCATGTCAGCGCGCTTGATTGCCACCACCAATGCTTGTTGGAGCATTCTTAAGTGCCATTCATGCCACAGTACAATAGTGGCAACAATACCGTTATTGCTGCTGCTGCTGCTCAAACATCAATCAGTCACATAAATCAATTTAATTATTAAGTAAACAACAGTTGCAGTCAAAGCGTGTTCGACAGTGGAAAATCGAGAATATGTTTTGTAGAAGAAAAAATAATAATAATTGTGCATTGCAAAAAAGGTAGCATGTAGCAGTGGCAGTGACAATGGCCGCCACATACACACACTCGCTTTTTGCGGCATACTTAAGTACGTATAGCCTTAGAGCAGTGGGTTGGCTAGTGCACTTTTTAACCTAAAATTAAGTAGGGTATGTCGGCCACATGTTTGCACAATTTCTAACATCACTCTGCACCACAACCAATTATTTGTGTTTTTATGCCTTTTTAATTCACGAAAATTATGCATTTATGTGCTACCAAAAATAACATAGTAAGCCAAATTGGCTATAAATTGCAAGCAACTGTAAGAACATGTATGAGTGTGTCTATGTACATATGTATGTGTGTATGTAGGCGAATGAAGGTGTTGGCATTTATTGCTGCCACAGACCGTTAAACAGTACTCGTTGCCACAATTATTGAATTAGAGGTTTTCAGTTTTCTACAAGCGCCAATACGTGGGTGTGTATGTATATAAACATAAATCCCTTTGAACATCGTGCCAAGTGTTGATTACAAGCATTAAAAGAAAAAAAAACTATTTCAAAACTTAACCATTGCTCAAATTGTTACGGTTCGATTTTATTGTTGTTTAACTACCAACTGCCAATTTTCGAAAGCAATAAATTTGATGAATTGCTCACGCCTCAAACCGAAATGCTCACAAGCGAGCATTTACACTTAACTCTTCATGTTTGCCACTTCACATTTAGAGCAGTGCGGTGCTTTTGCGCTGACACTTTGAACTTTATTACACTTTAGGACTATTTTAGAGACTGTTATTGGTTAACAAGCCCCTCGAAAGGGTAGTTCAAAAATTACACAGAAAACGTATTCTTCTTGGCAAAGTGGTATTGAAATAATGTAGTTAGTCGCGGGAATAAATATTCGCAATTTCCGAAAGCTCCTAGGGTAGTGGGAAAGAGGTGTGACCCAGGGAATTTAAACCTTAAGCTGGGAGCAAAATTTTCATGTACGCGGATGTTGTGGTGATTATAGTATCAGGGTTGTGCATAAATGTGATGATTCAAAGAGCGCTAGGAGGATTGAGTTGAGAACAGTGGGTCTTGCGTAGTGAAGCGGCAAAACTATAACTGAAATCAAGCTCTTCGAGTGATTCAGCGGCAGCTTTCTCTGTTAAGGGTATCATGGACACACGTTTGGCCTTTCCTTAAACGGCAGAGTAGGATTGATCCAAAGTATCCCACTGATTCCAATTAAGATCGATCTTGGCATGCGTTTGTCTATTACGCTCCTTGGATACCCTTCAATAAAGTAGGTTTAATGATAGTTTCATAGAGCCAGGAAAGCATCTTTGGCGAGGGACAATATCGCTTGCCAAAGGCTCATTTGCAGTAATTTGAGGCTACCGACATGCTCTTTACTCTTTTCTTCCAGGAAAGCTTGCTTTTAGGAGAGCACCTGCGCAAAGCTGCCCAGCAGTAAGCCTACCAGAACAGTTCAATAATTCAGCAAATAAATGAAGAAAAAATATACGCAATGACGTACAGAGTGAAATTCCACATGTATTTTGGCGGTTTTACGGAATGACGCTTTAAGCAAGTTATTTTCAAACCACCCCCGCACATCAACTACTGTTGCGCTTGCAAATGCGAAATTTGGTGTGAATAGATTGTTAATTAAACTTTATTGTGTAGAGCAATTCACAGTTTGCTTTTAGTGGATTTTATTAACTGTAAATACCTGAATGTACTTTTTGGTAATTTTCGCAATGCATTAAAAAATTGTATATATATTTTAAACAATGCCGAATTGCATGAAAATTTAAGATGGGGGAAAAAAAAATTCCTAGTTAACTGGAACACATAATAATCTTCATTTTAATGGTGATTTTATGTGCATACATACAGACATACTTTATGTTTTTTCTTTTAATCTTTTTTCCATTCTTAATGGGTCAAACACACACACACACACACACTCATGCAACCCGAAACCGGTACTGTTAGTTTTATCATAGTAAATTAACATATCTTGCAAATTTTATGCTAAATCATCACTACAAAAAGCAACAACAATAAATTCATACTTATATGGCAAACCAACTTTGGAGGTGTGTAAAATATTTACGATGGCTGGCAATCCAAAGTTTTATAACATTGTTGAAGTGCTTTAAAGGAGATGTACGGCTTTGTGGCTTTATATAAATGCACATACATATGTATGTATGCAGGTAAATGCGATTGCGATTGAATGAATGAATGAATTTATGGATGCCGGACCTATTTTTAGACACACACATAAAGTCAGCAAAGAAGCTGAAATATAAAATATTTACATAACTGCTACAGTTCAAGTTTTCAGCTTGTTTTAATTTTTTTGTACACCAGCGAACATTGTTTAAATCAAAAGTCTTGTTTTTGTTGTTCTGAATGTCTGCAGGCTATTTATCTAGGGGCCTCCTAATTGAAAAAAAAAACTAGGGTAGGATATGGGGGAAAAACTCGATAACTGTAGTAAACCCAAGTAGCTATTTTAAGAGATAACCTATTGAAAGTTAAGTCAGAAAGCTGCTTTAAACTTTAGAGTCGACTTAATTTTGACTATTACTTCGGGTCATTGTATTTAAAAAGCATAGACAAAAGTTGGAAAAAAAATTCGTAAAAATCTCGTAGTGGGAAAATTGCGGTGTGATAGCAAACCCTGTCGCACGGCCGGTACGCAAGTGATATTATGTCGCAGCTGTGTCGCTGTCGCACAAGTATGCTTTCATCGCTTCCTACCACATACCATGTACTCAGCATGTCGATGTCGCCTTCGTATTGTATCGCGTATCGTATCGCTCTGATGTGCACCGTGCCTAAGGGAATGAAATCCAGCCCAACCAAAATGTTCACAGATGGTTCTAAAATGCTAGATAGAGCGCGGTCTGGAATTTACTACGAGAAACTGAGCGTCGATTGGCCGGTAAGGTTGCCTCAACATTGCAATATTTTTATACCTTTCATGAGCATGAAATGGTATTATAACTTTGGTCCGATGTTTGTAAGTACCAGAACAAAAAGAGATAGACCCATGAAAATGTATACTTATATGATCAGAACGTCGAGCTGAGTTGCACTCAGAAAAAAGTCAGCCAAATATATTCCTCTCAACACATGATTTGGTAACTATAAACAAATAATGTAACTATAACCAAATCATGTGTTGATAAAAACATATTTAGTTGACGTAACTAAACTCTTTTCTCAGTGTGATTTAGCCATGTCCGTCTGTCCGTCTGTCTGTCTG